CAATAACATAATAATATTTATTCGATGAAATGGAGACAAAGACTTACTACCTAGTTTTCAATCAAAGAATATGATGCAGTCCTACAGGAAGTCAGTCGCGAGCCGGAGTAGCTCGGCAGTAACGCCTCTGACTGCAGCACTTGGTGACGAGGGTCCGAATCTAAGAAGGCACATGAGTTCCTTCAAGGTTGCAGATAAGTCTTGCTGACTTGTGCCAAGAAGCACCAGACTTAGGTGCGAGACTTTGTACCGATTGCCTACAAACATCTAATAACAAAGCATCATTGTGTTGATTAGAAAATTATTCACCTGTATTTGTATGTAGGTGACCACCACTCACAAACGATGTACTGTTAAGTGCTGGTTTTAGTTTCTCATGTAATTTACAGACTTGTCAGTCAGTATATAATCAACAATCAGAGAGTGGAATGAATGAATATTTTGACGACACAATGCATAGTTATTGTAATCTGTAATATGATGTGTATTCATCTGTCATCTGTGAATAACACATAAGAACAAGCATGTCATACAACTTTCTTTGCATATTTATCAGTTGTCAGAATAACTATTCGAGTTAAGAGTAGACGTTTTTTTCTCATGTGTTGTCGTGATTGTAGTTTGTTCAGATAGGTGGAATTAATGGGATATTTTGGTTTTCATCGAAAGTTAAGTAACTGTGTTATCTGAAAAATCCTGTCTGTCATAATACCTGCCTGTAAATGGCGGCTAATCTGACCTGATAAAGTCATTGATGATGTCAATAATTTTGGAGATTAGCTGTTAATGTTATGTGTGGACTACTCTGGAATGTGTGTTTCCCACTGAACTGAATCAATTTTCATTTGTTGTTGAGATTGTTTTATCAAAGTAATCTGACGCGGACTGTTTCGCCCAGTGCGAAGAGTTAGTCACCGATGGAACTTAGGGATTTGCATCATGAACTGAATGAAACATCGTGGATAAATCCGATTGGTAGTGCTTATGTGAGGGTGACACTGGATTCGTATGTGTTACTCAAAATAATTTGGATTTACCCTTGTCTTAGTTTGCTTGCCATCTACTGAAAGTCGGTAAGTCAACAAGAATATGTTACTGAAGTTAGCTGACAATTACCTCACACATATAATTGCTTCTACTGATTCAGTACATGTTAGCCCACCAACTAGGCTTTATCGTGCAGGTAGTTTCCGGTTTTCTGCGATAATCATGTAAGTTTCAGCATGTTCCTATATATGTGTGGGTGTTTAGTATTCTGCTACTCGATGTCTATGTTATGTTTATGAATGGGATTTTGTTGAAAAGTGGACTGACGGTGCTATGGGAAGCAGACTTGTACAAAGCACACTCTCCCGCCCTTTCACTTCAATGAAATTTAAAGGGACAGCTGTTTTTCTCAATAGACTCATGCGTTACTGGTTACACGAAATAATTTGGGAGGGGGGGAATTCTGTTCAGATTTTGGAAATAGTTATCCTTGAGTAAAACTTTCTACAAGTTGGTGAACCTCGATGCTCTTCAGTATTTAAGTTACAGGTGTTTTGGATACAAAATTCCAGGCACAACAAGCTGGGTTCAGGAAAAGTAAATTATGTGAGGATTAAATCGGAACCGATAGGGATATCAGTGTGGAAATCTACTGAAATGAGAATAAAAACAACATTCAGACTTTCAGCACTAATTTCAAGAGTCAATCAGCGGTTCAGAGACTAAGCGAACACGTTACCAAGAGCAACTCCAATAGTCCGCAGACTTTTATCCACAGCCACCTTCACTGGCTCCGTACTGAATGTCAGATGGCCAAAAAGAATAAACAACAAAGAACTCTAGGGACTAACCAACCCATAACCTATTGCTCAAAAGTACGCCGGAGAAAGTGGATATGGATCAGGTAAATTTAGGAAACCACTGAGTAACAACACACGGTAGACCAACTATCGAGTGGAACCTGAAGGGTAAACCATGAGCTGTGCTTGAGTTCATGGATGACATGGAGGAGATCGTGTGAAGTGGAGTAAGTGAAAGCTTATGGGAGATCGCAGAGCTAGCCAAAGATGTCTTCAGCGAACAGAATGAAATGGGGATGTGATGATGAAGCCCTGTATTCCACTCGAATCCTATGGAAATAATAATGATAAAATAGGTTTTCCTGAATAAATTTAAGTGTTACTAATTACACGCAATGATTTAGAGGATAATTCCATTCAGATTTTGGGGTTAATAATCTGCGTGTAACAACCAATATAGGCTAACAAACTTAATCTCTTTTAGTTAAATTACAGCACATCATTGACAGGTTTTCCTGTCTCCGTATTCAATGTTTTAAATTGCATGTATATCAGATACTCTTGAACATCTGTTTCACATTCTTGAACACTAAACTCTACAGTTTACTTATTGAATGTACCTGATACCATTCAAAAGGCTGAAGTCATAACGGTTGACTGACAGACAAAGTACCTAGTCTAGCCACCTCATATTGTATCTGTCAATTCAACCTCTTCTGTAAAACTAGTTATATTGTCTGGTGTGACTTATTAAAGGCGTAGTGAAAAACACTAACAGTTCAGTAGTAGACCATCTGACACGAAGAAGCTGTAACAGTAAATAATTCCCAAAAATTATTAGTCTACACCATTTTTCATTCAATACTGGATACTGACCTTCACTGTTTAAGTCGACTCATTAAGCTGAAGGCATGCAGTCAAACATCCACGTCATAAGGCAGACTGTAGTGGTATGTTTGGTCATACGTACACTAGCCCTAGATAATTATGCAATCATCATCGCTGTATGTTTCTGATCCCAAAATAGACTACATAATCCAGGCAACCAATTTGCTGCTTTGATTTCTCTTCAGTCTCAGTAAAGCAAGTAGTTTGAGTGTTAAAGAATACAAATTTACGTTTATGTGCAACATATTTTGCGTAAACGTTGACATTCTGCACCTCTTAGAAAAATATGTGATCGAAACAGGCCATAAAATCAACATTGAAGGGTCTTTGTCTATCATCTGTTGAGTACCAAATAAATTAATAAAGGCCTTTATATACCTGACACTCCAAACGGAAGAGGTCACTTTGATTTACTTAAAACAACCAAAATTCTGCAATGGAATCGATAAATTCATAAAAGGGCCAATTATTTAGCTAACAACATGGTAATTCATAAGTTTCAAGCTCTACATTTTCTTTTTTGTATAGAACACGGGCCAAATATTTATCTGATATTCAGTTTAGTGTTAGATTAATGGATATTATCTCTGTCTTCTAAAATGTAATTTATCGAAACTATTGACTTAGTGTAATTTAAAACAGCATTAATGTTGTTAATAATAATATTTCATTACTTATAATGGACGCACGTAACGGTAGAACCTGATGAAGAAGTTATCGAAAAGATTATTCTTTGTTCACAGTTTCATGAATAATTTATGCTCGAAACGTCATCCGACTGTTAATGCTACATCACTGTGTGATTATTAAAATGAACTTATTTAATATGCCCAAGTTTAACACTTACATCAGTTTTTGAAATTTTTAACGAGCACTTTCAGTCAATAAAAAATAAAACTGAAAACTGGAATTGAATAGGAGTATAATATATAAGTGTAATATTTTGACGTAGTTGTGTTCTTTGAGCTGGATGGTTTACTTGTGATGCTTTCATTGTCTTACTGGGCAACATCTTCAGCGCATACTTCAATTTGAAGTGAGCTTTTAAATTTCTCCACGAGTTTATTAATCCTCTCTCCTGGCGACTTTGAACGTGATTGGTTGTTGTGGTCTGCTCTCACACCCTCTAGTCTACTTGTATCGCTATTGGTAGTGATTGTTCCCTTGAACTGAAGTTTGACTTTTTGTGCATGAGATTTTCCTCTCATGGAGTGGTAAATTTTATCTATGTCAATGTGCCTGTTAACTGCCGATTTACTGGAATACCAAGCTTCCAAAAATTCTCTGGTGTTCTTGGTGTTTCCTATTCCTAATATTTGAATGTTGTCCCAGTAGAATTGATTTCCGTGGTTGTTTGTATGAAGCCATATGAGGGAGTTCATATCATGTTTTTTGATAGCTACTTTATGTTCACGGACGAAACGTGCGTTCATTTTTGCCAATGTACTATTTTTCTTAACCGTTGCAATTTATTTTGTAGATGATGTTGGTTTTATCTCCTTTCACTGTTGAGTCTTATGGTTGACACATAGCTAAGTGAAGTGAAGTTTTGGGTTGTGTGTGACATCAATTTCTAAAGGTTTGAAGAGTCTTGCAGTGATTTCTGAGATGTCCTTTATATTTGGTAGGGTGATTTTCTTTGTGGCTTCATTGCCAGCCTTTAATTTTGTAGGTTGGCTTGGGGGTGGATGTCTTTTGATGAAGTTCCATGGATATCCATTCTTTTGGAGGACGTACATGACATATCTTTCTTCAATTTTCCTTAAGGCAGGAGTGCTGCAATGAGTCGTGGCTTTCTTAAATAATGTTTGTATGCAACTCTATTTGTTTGTTATTGGGTTGTTGCTGTTGTAACTGAGTATTTGATCTGCGTAGACTGATTTTCTGTAAACTTAAGATTCTAATTTTCTTGTGGTTGTTCGCTGGACTAAGACGTCCAATATATATATATATATATAACAACCAATCAATTTAACTGAAGTCACTCTTTCTCAACTTTATAAATCGCCTATAGGATTATATGTATTGCCCTTAATCATACTTACAGACATCATTAAACAATAAAAACAGTAGTAATAATAATATTTGTCTTCATCTTCTTTCCTTCTAGGCAAAGAATAAAAAGAATCAGATTTCCAGATCAGATTTCTCCTACACCTACCTATAAGATATAATTAGATGAGGAAGCACATGAAACCCAGAATAAAGATTTATTGCTGAATTTTGATTGGTTGAAATGTTTTGAACCAATCAAAACAGTCGGGCAGTATCTACCTGATTGTATAAATACAAAAATACAAATAAAAAGCTCTTCTTATCTTATCTAACAAACACAATGGAACTATAAACCTGACTGTTTTAAGAGGACAAAAAACAAACACACTGAGAAAGAAAAACTTACTATTATATTTAATCATGGTAACAGCGAAATAAAAAAGTATTCTGCTGGTCTCTGTGTTTTGTGTCCTGGTTTTTGAAATGACCAGACGATCTTCTTTTTTCCTTTTTGTACACTAAAACTTTAAACTGACTACTACTACTACTTCTATCCGTTCAAGCAGGCAGTAATGGTGGATCATCCTCATAAAAAGGGGAGAAGGATAGAAGAGAGTGGAATGGATTTATGCACTAAAACTATCTGGATAGTTTAACGTCTGATGCTGCTGTTTGAATAAACAGTAAGTTTGTTTGTTTACAGTTGGGATTTTCCAGTTTTTGGTAAATTATTAAAAGAATGTGAAAGGGATATTCTTTTATCTGCTTGAAATCTGTAGCAAAGTTGGAATGATTAGTTCAGGGACTTGATTTTTGATCGCTATCTTATCTACTGAAATTTAAAAGATGGAATGTCGTTCAGAAGGCAGGTGGGGAATCATTTAGTTCCTTTGACGTTGCATATATGCCTATGTGCAACCGGGGCTTCCTGACGGCTGTCTTTGACTATCTAAAACCAGTTTAAGCTATAACTGTTAGTTTTTTCATCAGTGACTTGGACCACATCTTAAAAACATTGACATGGGGGACAGCAATGTAGTATTACATCAACCTAGTATGAATTTACTGACATTCCAATTGCCCTTCAAAATTATCTACCCTTATTGGATGATTTGATGTCTTTTAATTATTATGTGCTAAAATTAATTAAGTTGTACCACTTTACAGAAATAACAATTTTGTTAAATTTCAAGTGTTGTTTTCTAGAGGGATTCGATTGACTTCAGGTTTGATCACGAACTGATCAACTTCATTTAGAGAAACATTAAAAGCCACCAGAGGAGTCCTGGTCACAACTCCTTCGTGCATCTACTTTGCGGTTGTAGTTAGAAGCCGTAACCTTGATATGATTATGAGCAATAAATTGTGCTCGAAACGTCATCAGTAAACATTACTGTATAACACTGTGAGACTTTATCAAAACAAAATTTACCCATAATGGAAGCCGTAACCAGCTTAGTCCACCAAGTTGGGTGTGAGGGAAAACAGACTACTCACTATTGATATTGGCTGATAGTGGAAATATATGTCACGAGTTGATAGAAGTTATAAATGATGGATTTGCCACTAGATTCCAACCCAGTGGCTGAACAGTTGCTGATCTCAGCATGTAAAGTGAAAGTTATATGTTCGATTCCCAGTAAGGTAGGGTCATGAGAGAGTAATGATGGAGAGCCTCGGACTGGAACGAATTAGCTCTTTGATTAGGCCTTGGTTATATTCAGTGGTTTTGTAACTGAAGTCAGTTTTTGATCAAACTTCGTAACTGTAAAAAAACGGGTTATCAAGTACTGAGATGAACCGGTCAGTTAGTTTCTGTCCATTTTATTCTTATTGATGGAATAGTTACTCTGTGTACACAGTAGTATAAACAGTCGCATAAATTACATTATCAGATATTGAAAATATTTGTCATGTTCAAAGGATTCAATTTTCCGGTGCATCTATTTATAGATTCAGTAGGACTGAGTTGTATCAAACTAAAATAAAAAAGTGTAAAATATTCAAACAGTACATTGGATTTATTATAAGGCATAATAGAATATCAGAGTACTTAGTTACTTGAGAGTAAATTTTGGTACAGTGGTCACAAATTTAGCCATAAAATCCACAGGTTGAAAATTCGATGATTCTTCTCCTGGCCCATTTTCGGAGCCAGAATGTGACTTGCCTGAAAGTTTCCCGGAAATTGCAACCAATAATTGTAATGCCGTTCAGGTAGCCACCATATAGCAAGAGGACTCGATTTGTCACGAAATACGTGTATCTTTATACAACCCGCGTACAAAATTGTACGTATTCAGAAAATTGTACCGACGAAATAGATAAATGCTTTCAAGTATTTTTTGCAAGGACTTGATGGGTTACAGGTTGGATCGCAAGTTGAAACCATTTAGAGAAGCACTGAAAAACCAGACAGTGAAAGTGTCTCATCTCAGTTTTTGACTTCTCATCAGTACGCACCCGTTGAGGTCCAAGCAACAAGGCAAGCTGATAGACCATTCAGCTACTGGGACCCAATTCAATGGCCAACGAATTCCACTTTGTCCCAAGAGGTCAGTTATTCTCCTATGACAGTGACTGGCTGTCGAGCTATATATATATATATATATATATATATACCGTGAGTTGGCCAAAATGGGAATCCTTGGGCTGTTGGGTCGGGTTCTAGAGACTAAATAGTCTGCAAGTTGGCCTTGTAAGTTGAAGGTCTTAGGTTCAAGCCACGGTGGATGCGTACTTCCGAAGAGTCTTGAACTAGAACGAAACAGCTGTTGAGTACTCTATGGTTTTTCAGTGGTTCTGTAGGTGATGTCAGCTCGTGGTCATACCTGTTAAGAGTGGTTTGTTTCAAATAATGTTCTGATAAGAAGGAATATCACTTTCAATCTTTAACAAAATCTATAGATAATCATATTTTCTCTCTTAACAGTTTTTTCGATGTAGATTCCGTCAGGAACTGACAACATTTAGAGAACCATTGAACACAAAAGATGACCAGACGGGTATTTCATTCTATTGAGGGACTCTTCAAAGATGCCCACTAATTGCTAAATTCAAATCACTATTTCCCCTACAGCCCACTTTGAGAAAAACTACATCTTCTCTCTGTAAACTGACTTTTTTTGCGACAAAATCATTCATCTGTGTATCCTTATCAGAGTGGAGTTATTGAATAACTTCAAAATGGTTTCTGTTGTGACAGGAGAAGATTTACATGAAGTGTATTTCCTCTCTCTCTCTCTCATTCCCAAAATGACTTGTTGTTGAATTATCCTTTCCAAAGTATTAAAAAAATTCCCTTATGATGTCATTTAAGAACACATAAGTCCTAAATGTATAACACAATATGCTGCTTATTGATTAAGTGATATGAGCAGTTGGACACCACCACTTACAGCAACCAAAAGTATTTGATGATGACGACGAGCTCAGCCGCAGACGAGCGGAATCGATGTCTTCTGACGTTTCGACCAGTGCGATCAGGCTGGCTAGCAAGCACCACGGAGTGACGTGAGAGGTACGCAACTACTTATGTCAATCAGTCGGCAGTATGCTGTGTTATGCATTTAGGCTCGCTTTCCGGATTGACGTCTGTGCTATCAAGCAGATCCCATGCCATATGATCTGAGTAATTTCGGTTTCCAAAACAAAGTGCAATGATGTGTCACCTCGAACTGTTTGAAATGCAAAGTGGGAATTTGATTTAAAACATAAGTCAGGAAATAGATCTCTTTTTTCTCAACTTCCTTTCAGAGACTCAAGCCTTATGTAAAATTGACAAACCAGGTCAGACGTATATTATCAGTTAGTAGTGAAATAAATCAAAATATATGAGTAATATCAGTGTGTGAAAACTAGCGAACAGTCTTACATAATAGAGAAAGCCGACAACTAATTAGCTAAGAGATGAAAAGTCATTTTGACGACGGATTTGTATCCCAGTGAGTGATGCAGTTTTGGCTGAGATTAGAACTTAACTCCCATTGTATCAAACTATATAAAGCGTTAATCGTTAGATTACTGAATCCCGAAAGCCACCTGCTGTGTAATGGGCATCAGTTGTTATTTGATGAAGCTGTTGCTTCTTTCTGAGTTTAACGTTGATTGATTTCACTTGACTGGAAGGTTAAGTCTCTGTTGAAATTTCATCTCCGCTCTGACGTAGTAATGTATCCCTTGACGATATCTTAAGATTAATTGGGGGTTATATAAGTGTCAACATACAACTTTAAAGAACTATATTCCCGAGTTATTTGTCACTGATGAACGTTAATGATTTCTCGGGATTACCTTTAAGAACAGACGGATGATCTGGCTTATGGTACTGATGTCTACAAAATACGTATTTAATTACATTTGACAATTATTCTTGACTCCAATTACATGTTGGGCGGTTTGAAGCAAATGACGGAAATCCTTGACCTCCGGTTCATTTTTCTGACACTTGTCAGCAAGGCGTATGTACAAACAAGAATCCAAAAAATACCACTGTGTCCCTTTATCTTAGATATTCAGACACGAGTCATTCATTTCTGCAGTCAGAGACATCATCAATGAGTTTTACAGGCTCATGTCTGATCCACTGTAGGAAGTTAGTTAACAAATCTAATAAGGATTAGGCGTGTGACAACAGTCACTCCCCACACAGCCACAAATCTATTTCTTTTTCGGTTAGTCACGATTAGTTGTGAGATCCAGAATGCACATCTCGTCCTTTTCGAGACGCATCAACTAAATGTACCCACCTATCCAGTGAGACTCCAACCCAGATAAAACGCATCATTTCAAATAGCAAAGAACTGTCTACCAGACCACAAGGATCAGGACAGTCACCTCTTGTACAGCGGGTATCACTTATTAGTTCTTTTCAGGTTGACTATCATTTCCAGTTTACTGGCTATTTTGAACGGAAATACCCAGCCTCTGTGTTAACACTTTGGCTCCTAGTATGGGCGCCTCATCCTGTTGATATAATAGGACTAAATGACCATACTGTACTATAGTACTAGTAAGTACCTGATATCGTCGAAGCATCCGTACCAGCAGCAGATACGTCGACACACGCTGGTTGGGCATTTCAGTCCAACATAATCAGTAGTCAGTGAGAAATGTAAAATTAACCCGGGATCAATTGGTTAACTTCTCAAATCAGTGAGTAAAAAATAAGATTTTATTTGTTTTGGCTTGAAAATAAGAGGAATTTAAATAAACACTTCTAAAAGGAAATTAACAATCCACTTCACTTAAATGATATAACCTGTAGCATATATACTTCCTTTAGTGAAAGAAATCAGTAGTGCATTCATGACTGTGTGTAAGTGTGCAAATGTCAGTATGTGTACGTGTGTGTCAGATTTCTGATTTTGATCAGATTTCGTTTTGTGTATAGAGGCACTCAACTGTGAGAGTTAGTGAGTTGTCTGTTCCATGTCGGATCTCCTTAGTTGTATTATTTTCTTCCCCCACCCCTATTAAATCTCCACCCGTCATTATCACTGAGGTTAACTTGACTGTCATTCAAATTTTATTTGCATTCTACTCAATCCCGTCAATTATATTACGTCACTCAACTTATTTATTTAATTTATTCTATTTCCCATCCGATTAACACTTTCTACATTACTTAATTTGCTGTCTAGAAATAATTTACAATTCTAATGACACATCTTTGGAAATATTC